GTGAAAGGAAGTAAGTACCTATCAGAAATACATTTTCAGTGAAAGAAAAGGTTAACTTCCAAAATGGTCTTACCTCCTCTCACACAAAGCTAGAAACCCACATTGCAAAGGTGGAGGGTCCAGTGTAGATGCACAAATATGAAAACAAGTGCAAAGCACCCACCCACAATGAATGGGTGTGCTCAGAGAAGAAATGAAGCAAATCTCTGGGGTACCACACTAATTCTGGAACAGGTATGTTTTTTGCCCAGGAAATAGGAAAGTAACACAAAATGGGTGGAATGGAAAATACTGGCACAACTGAATACAGCAATAAGATGTACAGCACTGGACAAATGATTGTATAGCTGTATGTTCTGTAGAACATGCATGTTTCGTATGTCACAGGATTGTGCCTGATATTGTACCTGTGTTAAAACCTAGCCAGAAATACTTGCAGTGAACCACAGATGTGGCCATCAGGTAGATACAAGCTGTAGCAAGATAGAATGAGTTAGGTAGATACCAAACTTTAATCCGACAGATGATCTGTAGCTCGTTCTTGGCATTAGGAGTTTGAGGAAGAGAAAAAGGGAATAATAACAAGTGGCTAGGGTATGAGGACGGTGTGATCTATTCATGATGACATCAATTGATTAAGTTATTTTGTCTAGTGCAGTCCACCTGGGTAAAAACATCCAAGAGAAATGCATTATCAATTGAATAATTTACTTTGTCTAGAAGTAGTTTAACGAGCTTCACCCTCTTCTCAATGAGTGGATAATCAGGAGGATTGTAAAGTAAATAATGAAACTCACTCAGGAAGAAGTCTCCATGGTCCACCACCTCAGTGACTGGGAGTTCTAAAGACTCCTGTGCTTCACTAGAAAAAAAAGGAGGGGAGGAATATTGTGGTGGGGAGTCCATAAGAAAATCACACCAGATACTGTGCAACGAGTGCCTGCGATTCCCTATTCTGAAAAGTAGACTGATGCCAATTTATGCAATCAAAGGGTTGGCAGGGATAGGCAGAAATCACCTTCTGCTTTACTCATAAAGTCCATGATATCTAGTGCATATACACTGTACCAAACTGTATAATAGCCAAATGTACCAACCATGTGGAACACACTGTACCAAATTTTATAATATCTCAATGTACAAACCATGTAGAACACACACACACACACACACATATATATATATATATATATATATATATATA